GGCATTAGATATAAATAAATAAATAAATAAATAAATAAATAAATAAATAAATAAAAATAAATAAATAAATAAATAAATAAATAAATAAATAAATAAATAAATAAATAAATAAATAAATAAATAAAAATAAATAAATAAATAAATAAATGATGGGTGAATGGATGAATGAATGAATGAATGAACGAATAATTATATAGCTTAATAAAAACACTTCTCACTGTGAAATTCCATCATAAGCAGGCTTCACTGTATGTCGATCAGAAAATCTAACTTAAACACTTGATCGTAGAGACGTAACCTAAACTTTGGCACACTAAAGTGTAGGCACATCGTGTGTCCATTATCAACTTTTAAAATGTCGATTGATAACATGATTGTTATTTTATCTGGACAGGGATTATTTCGAGCTAATCTTTAACTACAGATCGTGAGATGAGCACGATTTTCAACACCCAGAAACGCAGAGCCTCAGTTAACCTAATTAAATGCAAATCTCCGTACTGGGAAGTGAGCACAGCCCTGTGGAGGAGTGAAAGACCCACCATGTGGGTGTTTGAAAGAGATTGAGTTAAATAACAGTCGCTGTAAGCAAAATATCACGGATCTGGAGGATCTGAGTATTTCCCTGCCAAAGGGATTTGGGCTGTATTTCTTCAGTCAGTGAGTGTATTGGTTTCAACGGCGCTTCGAGTGGTATTTGAGTTGCATTATTGCACCTAACTTAATGATGAAACAAACTTTATGGATAACAGCTTCTTTTATTTCGTGAGTGCGACGTTTCGATACAGATTCTTGTACATCTAAAAGAAGTGTTTCTCGTTTATCATTTTGGTAAAACCCACGAGTAAGGGCATGGTGCTGACAAAGTTGAACACAGGATTCTGGTTTGTCGAAGGGAGGCAACTCTGCACAGAAAACTGAAGCGCCTTAGACTCCCGTGTCATCCTTGGCCCCGTACATTTAAAAAACTGTAGAGTGATGTTCATTATCATATTGCACCTTTTTCTTACCTGGACGATGGGGTAGCCTAGTGGTTAAAGCGTTGGCTCGTCACACCGGAGACCCGGGTTCGATTCCCCACATGGGCACAATGTGTGAAGCCCATTTCTGGTGTCCCCCGCAGTGATATTGCTGGAATATTGCTAAAAGCGGCGTAAAACTAAACTCAGTCAGTCAGTCTTACCTGGACGATGGGGTAGCCTAGTGGTTAAAGTGTTCGGTTGTTCGCCGAAGATCCGGGTTCGATTCCACCCTTGGTGCAAAGTGTGAAGACCATTTCTTGTGTCCCCTACCGTGATATTGCTGGAATATCGCTAAACGCGGCGTAAACTATACTCACTCACTTTTCATACCCTAACAATCAGTTTACATTACTAACAATCAGTTTATATTACTAACAATCAGTTTACATGACTAACAATCAGTTTCTTTGTGTATTCTGTAATCAGCCCATATTGGTTTATTACGTCCTACTTTTATTAGATGGATAATAATTTAAATGTTAGGTTCACAATAAATTTCAAACACACATGATTTCGAACGTACATGATTGTCCCTAAAACAGTAATACCTACAGGTATTTGAAAGCCTAATATGTCCAGAAATTCTTTTCGCCCATATGATTGTTATTGCTCCATATTTTCTTTGTGATTTGTTCTTGAGGCATAATGAACATAGCTTTCAAAAAGGGGCACAACTTATTGTTTGAAACAATATCGTGAATCAGTCTTTGCCCCTTCACGCCCTCCGTGACTCAAACCGCGACAGCCAAACCCTGCGCACTGACCTGCTCCTAAAACAATAAGCGACACGTGACGTATCGCGGAAGCTGTTTAGAACGAACGAATTCCTAAAAGACTTCCGAAAACAAAGGCCAAAAGTTATTGCAAGGGGCTACCTTTGGTGAGACGCGAGGATTCATAAATGGTTAAAACCTGGGGGGAAAATTGTTCAGTTTGTGCATCCTCCATCAGTAACCTCCCTTGGAGGTACTTCTACTGCACTGAGATAGTGGATTTTGTGTTTGGAGAGTATTCACAATGTGATGCGTCCCACCTGTCTGTGATTGGGCGAACAGCTTCGTGTTTTGGCGGGAAAGGTCAACACCCATATTGGTGCCAAATTACATTTTCCTACTTGCGGTGAGCAGGGCGTATAAACAACACGTCTTTTTATACGAAGTCGAAATATATAACATATATTAGTAATCGTTATATCTTGTATATTAATTTATTATTAACAGTGTTCCAAATAAAATATAATTGTACCACGCGTCACGTGTAACGGTGAGGCTCCCAATGTCGTTGTTTGCATCTCGGAGTCAGTAAACGTGGCGCACGCGTCGCGCTGAAGTATTAGTTCATAAGCTGGGATCTGTCTGTTTATGTCACCATATGATTTGATCAAGTTGAAGAGGTGCATAGAGAGAATTCTACCATGTCTTCAGTAAATTGAATCGGATTAAAACGTGATACATAATAATGCAACAATAGCAATGCGTCACACATTACTTTTGTGTCATGTTGACGTTGATTTTGTTTTGTTTCACGGATTGGTTGGTATTTTTTTCACAAACATACTACACACCGTACCTGTACTACTAGACCTACAACTACGACTACTACTACTACGACTACTACTACTGCTACTACTACTACTACTACTGCTACTACTATCACTACTACTACTACTACTGCTACTACTATCACTACTACTACTACTGCTACTACTATCACTAGTACTACTACTACTACTACTTCTACTGCTACTACTATCACTAGTACTACTACTACTACTACTGCTACTACTATCACTAGTACTACTACTACTACTGCTACTACTATCACTACTACTACTACTACTGCTGCTACTACTACTACTACTGCTACTACTATCACTAGTACTACTACTACTACTACTACTGCTACTACTATCACTAGTACTACTACTACTACTACTACTGCTACTACTAGCACTAGTAGTACTACTACTACTACTGCTACTACTATCACTAGTACTACTACTACTACTACTGCTACTACTATCACTAGTACTACTGCTACTACTACTACTAGTACTACGACTGCTTCTATTACTGGTACTACTACAACTACTACTAATGCTACTATCGCTACTACTACTGAAACTAGGGGTGGACGATAATACCGGTTAACCGGTATATTGCAATTCGAACTTCACAATACGATATATTGCGGTACACTTTTCGCGATCGGCAATTTCCGTGACCATGATCGGTAATTTTCGTGTTGCAGTCACAAATACTAATAACATTTGTATTTACTTTATATTATTATACATTAATATTTTTGAGAATGTAATTGCATTTGTATGACTTTTAAACCATATAAATGAAAAAAAATTAGATTGGTACCGGCACTCGTTGTATTGATAACCAACCAAAAATAGCGGAGGCCGCATTCTCTTCCCACAGAGGTTACTTGTCATATCTTCCTACGAACCTCTGTTCTAATACCGCCCTTTCATGGTGCGAGTGCTCAGGATTCGAGATTGGTTGCAATTAGATTTAGTTGTGCAATCAACGACGTTGTTCCATAAGTGATCATTCGCAAGGTCTCGGTAATTTCCGTACGCTTTCCGAACTAGAATTTCTTCCCCTGCGCGATGCGCAAAAGATTCTTCTAGACAGAACTCAGTCATGTAATGGCGGGTCAATGGCGTCTCCATTCATGACCAACTCGTGTTATTCCGGGACAAGTCGAACAGCGACTCGTGCCCCTCTGGAAGGATTTCATATTGGCGTAGGAACATCAGAACTCATTCAAACAGGAACGATAACTCTATTCCTGTTTGATTCCAATGGTACTTAATATCACCGAAGTACTCATACATTGTATTGCTGTTTTTGTTTTTGCTTATTTATTCTTAACAATTAAACCTCCTTGGTACAACTGAAAGAAGGAGAAAAACATATTTGTTAAAGACACATTCTGACGTAATTATTATCAGATGTTCATCTTATATTTCCAATTACATTTCTGAAAAGGGAATAATAATCACAAATGGGATTTCTTTTATTGAATATGCGAATAAAATTTATAAGGGGATTTTACGAGAACCGGAAAAAATGGCCGTATTAGAACAGAGGTTCGTAGAAGGATATGACAAGTAACCTTTGCGGGAAGAGAATGCGGACGCCGCTGCAGACGCTTTTTCTCGAGTTCAAATCTGTAGAGCGAAGTCTTCAATTTGGAAACAATTCAATTGATCTCTTGTACAATCACATCTGTCCTGACAGTGGCCAGTGGCATTGTTTCAAAAGAAAGGAAACAATAATTTCATTACCTTAAACCATGTTTTACACATTTACAATATATTGCAATACATATTGCAATACGACAACACTTACCGCAGTCTATCGCAATACGAAAAAGCCGCCTCCGTGGTGTAGTGGTTAGAGCGTCCGCCCGGAGAGCGGAAGGTCGCGGGTTCGATCCCCGACCGCGTCGCACCAAAAGACGTTAAAATATTGTACTTGTTGGTCCCTGCCTGGCGCTCGGCATTGATGGGTACAACAAGGGCTGGTCGGTTTGGAGTCAGTATAATGTGTCTGAGTGGGGTATTCATGCTTCACTGCGGCATGGTATCTCAGTGGGCTAGCACTATAAGACCAGCTTCAGTCTGGGCTAGTACAAGCAGCCGCACATACACATACACACGCATGCACGTCGTCATATGAGCGAAATATTCTCAAGCACGACGTTAAACCAAATTTCACCTCACCCTCACCTCACCAATACGAAAAGTTTGGCAATACCCAACCCTAGCTGCAACTACTACTACTTCCACTACTGCTATAGGAGGAAAGTGGGGTGGGGTTGGTGAGAGGACAGGATGGGGATGAGGAGGACGTGTCCGTGTTAAGGAGTAGTCAGTTAAACATTGTGACTTAAACTGTAATAGAATACCCAGCAGGTCAACAACAATAGCCGTTCTAGTTACCAGTATGACGTCATTTACAGCTTCACATGGGACACACCTGTGCAGGAGATCATCGGTGCAGCCATCAACTTCGGCGACCGCTACCGCAACGACTACCTCAGCCTGAGAGACATCGTCTCCATGAGGACCGGTCTCAGCAACATGGACGCCGTTGTCCTTGCCAACGCCATGGACCGAAGCCGCCTCATCTCGTGAGTATGCCTCCCCTCCCCAACTGGATTTCGTTTTTGTTTATTTGTTTATATGTAGGCTGCTTCGTAGTTAGTCTTCCACTGTGGAAAACTGCATTTCGTTTGATAAAATACATGATAAATTGCAGGTGTTAAATAAAATCAGTGTTTGACAAATATTAGAAAAGAGAAATTTACTGTGTGAAAAAGATAAAAGAAATGCATTTTGTAATGAATGTCTTCATGTTCCGGATATCACTTTCTTAGTAAAGTACAGTTCCAAGTACTTTTGGTGGTTGAGTCCCATTGGAGATTCAGCCACATACTTCACAGAGAAAGGCGACTGACGGGATCGCCAGGACAAAAAGTCAGACCTAGATCAATCAACCTCTGCGGCTTCCACTTTCGAATTTCGCTGCCACATAAACAGCTTGAAAGAGCTTGACAAAGCTTGACAGAGCTTGGCCACTTTATTACCGAAGAAATTACATTTACAGCTTGATCGGCCAAAACACCAATCACCAATCGCACCTTGTATTGATGAGTGAGTGAGTGAGTTTGGTTTTACGCCGCTTTTAGCAATATTCCAGCAGTATCACGGCGGGGGACACCAGAAATGGGCTTAACACATTACACCCATGTGGGGAATCGAACCCGGGTCTTTGGCGTGACGAGCGAACGCCTTAACCACTTGGCTACCCAACCGCCCCTGTGTTGATGCATTGAAGTGATGGGTTGTACTGTACTCTGATCTATTTTGTGGAGTAATGCTAAGTCGTACACCAGCCACGCCACAAGCTGCAACTTGCAGGTGGTGCTTCAGTTCTGTGCTGGCGTTATTTCTACAGACGGAGCAAAATATAATCTGCTTTACTTCGCTGTTTGTTGTTCTTGAACAAAACACAGTTGCTGCGCAACGGATTCTCATAAACAGGTTGCCACGACATATTCAGACTATTCAACAAGTTCGCTTTAAAGAAGTAGTGTTTCCTAGCTTTTCAAGGGTGGCGAGGTAGCCCAGTGGTTAAAGCGTTCGCTAGTCGCGCCGAAGACCCCCTGTTCGATTCCCTACATGGGTATCCATTACGTCATATCCAGGGAGCATTTGAGTGAGTGAGTGAGTGAGTTTAGTTTTACGCCGCACTCAGCAATATTCCAGCTATATGGCGGCGGTCTGTAAATAATCGAGTCTGGACCAGACAATCCAGTGATCAACAGCATTAGCATCGATCTGCGCAATTGGGAACCGATGACATGTGTCAACCAAGTCAGCGAGCCTGACCACCCGATCCCGTTAGTCGCCTCTTACGACAAGCATAGTCGCCTTTTTTGTGGCAAGCATGGGTTACTGAAGACCTATTGTACCCCGGATCTTCACGGGTCAGGGAGCATTTGACCATCACAAAGTCAAGCTATATTTTTTGTATCAATCAATTTATATGAAATATGCTCATTTAAGTGAATGCAGTAAACCAAGCCATTTTCAAAGTAAGCCATGCGTTACGTTATTGAATTGCTTAGTTATAATCATTTATTAATTCGCACTATCCATGTTGCCAGTGAAGATCCGAGTTAGAACTGTTTGTCCTAAGAGGCTACTAACGGGATCGGGTGGTCATTCTTGCTGACTTGGTTGACACATGTCATTGTATCCAAGTCAGTCAGTCACTGGATTGTCTGGTCCTGACCTATGTACAGATCGCTGGAACATGGTTAAATGCGGCGTTTAACAACAAAACAATAGAAAAAAAGGTCTCCCCCAATTTTTTTATTAATTTTATATTTTGTTATTCCTGTTATCTATATTTTCCTTTCAGCAAACTGAGGTTCGCACCCAAGGTGGCCACGTTCCGGGAGAGATATGTCTACAACAACCTGCTGTTTGCCGTGGCTGAGGAGGTGTCCCGCAGCCTGGGACAGGACACGTGGTACAAGCTGGTGCAGGACCACCTCCTGGCGCCCCTCGGTATGACAGACACGTTCTTCATCACCAAGGATGTCCAACAGGAGGAGAATCTGGCCCAGCCCGTCATGAGCTACAACGGAGTCCCTATGCCGATCCCAATGGAAGCTATGAAGTGAGTGGAGGCGACAGGCTGTGACCTTGCGGTAGATGTACACTACTATTCAAACTAAGGTTCCCAAGGAAGGCGTTTGCCATTCTAAAGGTATCTGATCGGGACCTGTTTCACAAAGCGATCTTAGTGTTATGGTGATTCTACCTCCAATTCTTTAACATATGCTTACGATCATCGTAGCGCTATGCCACTCGTAAGTCTGTGATAAAATATAGTTACTATAGGTCGTACGTTACGGTACGAACGCTTTGTGGAACGGGGCCCTGACCCGATTTAGACCAAAAAACACTCGTTCAGTACAATTATGGGTTTGAGATTGCTAGATGATTCCGATAACATCTGGACAGTGACTCAACTGAACACTGAACGTAACACCACTCGATCCCTATCTGAATAGGTTAAGAATACCATACCTGACAAGATACTTTTAAGATATTCCCAACAAGACCACGCACAATTCCGACAGGATTGCGTAAAGGTCATGACAGGAGGCCTATAGAATCGCGATACGTTTATGACAGGATAGTTATGCGATCCTGTAAATGATCAGGGTCCCGATCCACAGAGCGTTCGTAACGTTACGACCTGTCGTAACTATACTTTATCATTGGTTAACGAATGGCATAGTGCTACGAACGTTTTTGTGGATAGGGTCCCTGAATATAATCACGGTTTAATTTCGGTTTGAAGAGTACTGTAGCTTTGGGGAACAGAATGACAAAAATATCCACCTGATATCCAGGGACATCTGTCGGCAGGAATAGCTGATGGTTAATTATAAGTAAGCACAGGTCTGGTATGACCGTTGCGTCTTCAGCACGATCCCTTCATTAACAACATAAAGGAGCATAACAGATGTTATGTGTCATGACAACTGGCATGATAACAGTGGAAAACCACTTACTGTTTGTGTCGCAACAGCGAGAACACATTGCTGGAACTCGTGTTGTTTGTGGCATGGGATTTGTTTGTTGTTTAACGCCGCAGTCAGTAGTCTTGCAGCTTCATGTAAATAATCTGGATCAGACAATCTGGTGACGGACCTTATGACCTTACATCTACACGACTGAGATACGTTGACATGAAGTCAGAGAGCTTGACCACCCTATACTGTTAGTCGCTTCCTTCAAGAAACTTCGCTTGCTGAAGACCAATTCGAACTCGGATCTTCACGGGATGGATGGGTGTTACTTTTCAAGTAACATCACCTCTGGATTATATTGATTCAACAGCTTTTAGACGGAACTAATTATCGCTCCGCAAATAGTATGAACCTCCAGACTGAACCAGCAATCATATGGCATAAGGTAGACTTTTGTTTTCCGTACAGATTAATGGGGAAGTGTTCACGAAAGAATCACGGTTATTTTTGTGAAACAAATGGAATTTTTGAATTAGTTTATATCAATACTTGAAAATATACACACATCTTTCTTACAACGAAAGTATAACCCTCAATTGAAATACATGTATACAGAAATGTTATGCCATTATGAGGCCTTTGTTTGCCGAGCTAAACAGGGCAGAGTTACCTCCCTTTGATTATGACGCAATTGGTGCAAATTGATTTAGACTGGTCTTCTGTCAAATCCCAGAGGAAAAGATAGGGCTTTTTTTCCAAAACATTCTCAGCGATTATCGGTTCATCGACGATGTTTCAGAATGACCTTTGGTGGTTCGAGCAAACAACAACAACAACAATACCGGTGATCATAATGAAACGATTTTTAAAAAAAATCAATTCTCCCAGTAAAGTTCGACGTTTAACTTAAGACTTTGAGCGGTGTCAGGTATTACCTACAGCTAACACCATATCCCGCCAAATTCCTCTTGTGTTTAATTAACAGTCAGTAATAGACAGATTCCACTCTATATGAAGCAATAAGTAATGCTAACAAAGAACCGCTCATTGAGAAAACATACACATACAAAGGCCTTAAGTCCTATCCACCAATCATTTTGCTAATAGATATTTCACATCATCAATTTTTCATATATTTTTACTCCTCGCCCGAACACCCAGGTTGGGTCATTCCGAACAGTAATGTCGGGCTCTTCCGAACAAACGGTGTGCCATAAAAACTTAGTTGTGACGGATCGTGTACAGAAGGTTGATAAACTCTTTCCTCATTCCTGAATTGAAATTTGCAAATTATGAAAAGCTCAGTAACAGGAACGAGGAAGAGTCCCTGGATAGATAGTTTTTGTAAAGAATGAATTGACGTCAGTATGCTGAAATTCTAAAAAAGATGTAACTAACACAAAATATGGCCCTTGGTTAGGTCTAGGTAACTTTAGATACAACTGACTTTTGTCTGGTCACTTTCAGTCTGCTCAGGACAACCCTGATAATCAAGCACTATTCCTGCATACGAAGCGACCCGTGGAAATCCGTGTTAGAATCGCATAGATCGATGCTTATGCTGTTGATGACTGGATTGTCTGGTCCAGACTCGATTATTTACAGACCGCCGATTATAGCTGGAATATTGCTGAGGGTGGCGTAAAACTAAACTCACTCACTCACTGTATAAAAAGCAAGTAACATGATCTGTACTTCCTCAGTACCTTGTGAAATATAACAATACAAGTAAATTTGTATTGAAAAAGATACCTTTTAAGATACGTTTCTTGCATGTAAATTAAATAAATGATAAATATCATAATGTTTTACTATTACATTTACAGATGATATCGATCTACTCCTTGTCATTTGTTTGAAGACAAAATTTGTCAACGTTTCAAAACATAAACATATACATTGATGCAAAATTATTAACATTCTCAGTAACATTTATATATCGATGGTAAGCCAAGCGTTTTCAAGATTCGTTTACATGGATTTAATAAATACTAAATTGCAACACTTTCCTTAATCTGCCAGTGTTCTGCACAACTTGCAGATCTGCAGTACCTATTACTTGATCGATCGTATTTTCTTTCTTTTTTTTTTTCTTTCTTTTTTTTTGGGGGGGGGAGGTATTAATTTCTCATGAAATTACTTATTTCAATATGGACAGTAGTGATAATAACCGAACTGTTGTCGTTGAAAAAAGATCATATTCACAGTCTAACTGGGGAGAACACGATTATTTAAGACAAGCAAACATTTGGCCTTTTGTGGCACTTTTAGCATCGACTAACATTTGACTGGCATTTTAGAAGTTGGGATGTACAATATTGAACAAACTCTATAGATCACAATTTCTTTTATTTCGTGAGTGCGACGTTTCGATACAGATTTTTTTACCAATCTTGCTTGACAACGGTATAAGAATCCGTAAAGTTTGTTCAATATTGTAACATTGACTGACGTAAATGAAATTTGAATAATCAAATTCCATTATCGTGTCTGATACATGACGTGCAAGGTGCGGCGGTCAGCAGAGGGCACTCTCACCAAAGTCGTGAGATTTAGTGTCTTTGATATCTACATGAGGTCGCGTTTGGACGGTTAGTGTTTAGTGTTTACAACTTTACCACGTGAAATGGGTCTAATAAGTCCTAATGACGTCATTCCTTTATCATTTTGGCACTAATGACATCATATTGCAGGGAACATAAACCATGGTGTGTTTATTGTGGAAATAGAACTCTTGGTAAATGTGCAAAATATGAATCGATGTGATGCAACAAATAACTTAGTTAGTTTGTGAGTGAGTGAGTTTAGTTTTACGCCGCACTCAGCAATATTCCAGCTATATGGCGGCGGTCTGTAAATAATCGAGTCTGGACCAGACAATCCAGTGATCAACAGCTCTTACGGCAAGCATGGGTTACTGGAGGTCCATTCTAACCCGGAACTTCACGGGTCGAGAGACAGAGAAGCGGAGAGAGAGAGAGGGAGAGAGAGAGAGAGGAAGAGTGTCACAGACGCAAACGGGGAGAAAAAGAAGAGAGAGAAACGGGGAGAGAGAAAACGACAAAGAGAGATACAGGGGAAGAGAGAGGATTGGAGAATGAAAGTGGGAGAGAATGAGAGGCGGAGGGAGGCACAGAGAGAGAGAGAGAGAGAGAGAGAGAGAGAGAGAGAGAGAGAGAGAGAGAGAGAGAGAGAGAGAGAGAGAGAGAGATATTGACATGTGTCAACCAAGCCAGCCTGCCTGACCACCCGATCCCGTTAGTCGCCTCTTACGGCAAGCATGGGTTACTGATGATTCATTCCAGCCCGGACCTTCACGGGTCAGTTAGTTTGTGATATCTGTACAGTTTTGGATTTGAAACTACTTGGCAAACACGTTTAATGCTGAAGAAATGCAAGACCAAAAGGGTAATTTTCATGTAAACTTGCCCTTTGAAGATTAATAGAGAATCCATTAAGTGTTTTCAATGGTAAAACAATCAAGTTTTCATGTTTTATTTCAGAGGTCAAGAAATCGTCGCTGCAGGGTCGTCCATTTGTTCAACAGCAGACGACATGGCCAAATGGCTTCAGTTTAACTTGAACAAGGGAGGGACGCAAGGTGGCGGCCAGATCCTTTCCAGAGAAGCCCTGATGGAGCTGTTCCGGGGGCAGACGACACGATCTGATGCTGGGAACGCGATGGTGGAGGGCTTCAGTCAGCCAGACGTTCAAGTGTCTTACACAAGGGAGGCCAACACGCTGGGCTGGATTAAAGGACACTATCGGGGTGAGTGAGTCGGATTTTATCAACTTTCTAGCAACATCACGGGATAGGACGCCAGAAATGGGCTTCACTCATTGAAGGGAACCTAACCTAAATTTTCAGTGTGACAAGGCAATGTTTTCACTATTTAGCTATGTCATTGTATCCCATTTGCGTACATCGATGCTCATGATGTTGATCACTGGGTTGTCAGGTACAGACTCGATTATTTACAGACCGCCGTCATATAACTGAAATATTGCTGAGTGTGGCGTTCAACAACAAACCAAACTATTTAGCTACTTGATTTCCCAAAGTGATCATAGTTCCGATCTTATATTGTTTGTGTGTTTGCTTGTTGAACTTGACAATCCAGTGACCAACATCATAAGCATCAATACGCAATTGGGAACCGATGACATGTGTCAACAAAGTCAGCGAGCCTGACCACCCAATCGCGTTAGTTGCCTCTTACCACAAGCAAGGTGTGGTGAAGACCAATTCTTACCCGGATCTTCACGGGTTCCGCTTTTATATCATGAACATCTGTTCTAACTATAAACCTTTAAGGTGGCATACGTTTACCTTTTAATGACTTGAATCCATTGCTGTTTGCAGGCTTCACTGTACTGTCCCAAGATGGCACCCTCCCCTGGGTATGAGAGTCTTACCAGCTTCATCCCCGACCGCGACGTGGGCGTCTTCACCGCCTTCACAGGCGACAACGGCCCCAAAACCTTTGCTGCCAAAACACTGATGAACACCTATGCTCTGGACATGCTGATCCACGGCCAGCCATCCTTCCACCTCAAAGACTTCTGCCAGACCCTTGATGCCATGTTTACCATTGTCGTGAAGAACAATCCCTACGTGAACCGTGAAATCAAACCAGCGTCCGAATCGAAACGCCCTCTCGAAGACTACCAGTCATTTTATCGGAACCTGGCCTTCGGGGACATCAAGGTCTGGGTCAACGAGTCCCTATATCTGAAATATGGCGATATGGGGGAATATCATCTTCGACCAACAGAGCAGGAGAATGTATTTCAGATGGAGGCGATGCCTGGAGATCTTTGGTATACCACCCACGTCGATATTCTCCGAAGGAAGCCGTATTATGCGTACTTTGACACAACTCCTTACAGCGATGACCATATCGAGGTGGTGAAGATCCCTCATTTTGACAAGGACACTGATCCAGTGTTTAGTAGGCGGGTGCGAGTCCCACCTCCTTACGACGAGGTGCGGGAAATTTGCGGTTCCAGTGGCAGAGTCGCTGTATCTTGGTCCATTGTTGTTTTAAGCATCCTGATGATGCTGCGGTGATGAAAGTTCGATCGAGTTTTACCAGATGAGCAAATCTTAGACTCCTGACAGACTTCAATTATGATGTTTAGGTGTAAATAATTATATTTGGATTGGTTAAAATTATTTATAATGAGGTTTATTTATAATAAATACCATAACAAATCAGACTTTATCATTTGCAAACCTCTATTTTTTTAAAAACCCTCTATAACTTATATAAAATTGGTGTGTTGGTTATACGAAACCGCACATATTTATTTTCATGGAAACATCGCGATCCATTCATGATGGCGTTATATTCCAATACAAGTCTTTAGCATATTTTTAAAAGATTTGCTGATCCTTTTATTTTTTGTATATTTTGCATGATACATTAAACTGTTGTTGAGTTGTGTGTCCCTTAGGAATATGCTTCCATGTTTTCAATACTAATCCACATATTCTTACTGTACGACTATATGTGTCACGTGACATTGCTCCCGAGTTATGATTGGATTGTCCTTGACCTAATTGGTGATGCAATCACGTGGCACATTGTCTCTTCCAAATATGTCAAGTGTAAATATTTTTTTAAAAATGAAGAACTACGTGACCATCAGCTGGAGGCATTGAGATTATTTATTTCTAATGTATTTCAAAACACTTTCAGCGAATTGTGTAATTAACCAAATGTTACATATCAAATTCGGACTTAAAGCTATATAGTCTTTCAGTGTACATACATTTTTTCAAATATTTAAATGTAAAAATCCTTTAATCGATTTTCGCATGTTCCCTATATGTGAGATCTGTTTGATTGCAATTAGGTAAAATTACATACATTGATATTATAGATAACTTTTGAGAAAGGTTTAGTTCAGAGATGTGGTTAGAATTTGCAGCTGATCTGTCTTAATGTTCAGTTGGAATTGTTTGAAATAAATGTTTTTTGTTTTTTTAGTTGGACAGCAGTAAGTTTGTTTTTTGTTTAACGCTGCACTCCGACTATATGACGGAGTATCCAGTGATTAACATCATGAGCATAGATCTGCACAGAAAGGACACAATGACATGTGTCATCCATGTACGCGAGCCTGACCACCCCGTTAGTCGCCTCTTACAAGGTGAGGTGAGGTGAAATTGGGTTTTACGTCGTGCTTGAGAATATTTCGCTCATATGAAGACGTGCATGTGTATGTGTATGTGCGGCTGCTTGTACTAGCCCAGACTTAAGCTGGTTTTATAGTGCTAGCCCACTGAGATACCATGCCGCAGTGAAGCATGAATACCCCACTCAGACACATTATACTGACTCCGAGCCGACCAGTCCTTGATGTACCCATTAATGCCGAGCGCCAGGCATGGACCAACAAGTACCATATTTTAACGCCTTTTGGTATGACGCCTCTTACAAGCATTGATTAGAGCTGTTTACGCCAAACACTATGTCTCTGCAGTTTTGGTATTACATGAGCGAGGTGCCCCAAAAACCAATAGATATTTAATTGAAACAGGAATCTCACTGTCTCGGAGGGTCAGTAGTTCACCATAGCTATCGATAACAACAGGTTCAGCATCTGGAATTGGTGAGTAAATGAGTATGGTATAACGCCGCTTTTAGCAATATTCCAACAATATCTGGGGGACACCAGAAATGGTACCCGTATTGGGAATCGAACTCGGGTCTTCGGCGTGACGGGGGGACGCTTTAACCATAAGGCTACATGAGTGTTATCATACTCCAATGTTTTTGAAATATGCCACTGTTCACCAAGCAGTGAATGGGTACCCGGTAGGATAAGATGGCACTGTGACTGACAACCTCTAGCGCATTATAGCCAGCTCGGGATGTCTGATCCCCAGGGATCGGAGAATGAAAATCGCATTTACACCTATCCATTACTCTGCGAAAAAATAATTCAATTGGTGACTCAAATTTAACACAGACTATTTTTGTAGAAATGTTGTCGATGTTTCTATTAAGGAATGCATGTATCTGGTATCAGCTGTAAACACATTACCCATACACCTAACCTACTTGTCCTTTGTTTGTGAAGAACTTCCTGGTTCCTTTCACTTGATCTGTAAAGCGTATCAGTGGGTGTTCCGAGTCTCCCGTGGGTCTGTAGAATTTGTGCACGATCTTTGTTACACAAATGTTCTTTTAGGACGGTTACGGTTAATAATTTCTCCGCGATGCAAAGTTTGACGAAAATCGTCTCAGTGTGTGCATTTCTATCACAAGCCTGACTATTAAAGATTTTATAATTGAAGCCTAAATGATTATGCTTGAGTGCGTCTTGTTTAGTTGACAAGCCACTTCCCAGTATTTGTATGTATCTGATACTACCTGGTTAACCCGAAGTATCGAGACCGTTGAAAATATGTCGAGAAATGCTGAGGGCCGGTATTAGACCAAAGTGTCGATGAGGGTCCACGTGCACAAAAACGAATAAGCATAATATAGCTCTCCCTATTTTATGCCTGCTTATGCGTAATATAAAGATTGTTTGTCGTCATTTTTTCTAGCATTGGAGTTGTAGTAAATTTGAATTTTAGTATGTTTATCCCGAATACAGTAAACTATGTTTATAACGAATCGCTTATAACGAACTAACGGATATAACGAACTAACTGTTTTGTCATGACACTTGTAGATTTTAGCTGTAGAACTACGGTTATAACTGCTTATAACGAACTACGTTTATAACGCACTAACATTAGTGGTCACTGTGAGTTCGTTATAACCGTAGTTGACTGTTGAAACGATTTTCCGTTTTAACTACAGCCAAGAAAACGGCGCAATGTATGATTGGGGCCCTCTGAAATCGTGTTGTGATTGAATACAAAAAACAATATGCATATGATGTGAGCGTCTCCTCCTCTCAGACATTAAAAAATGTATAAATGTGATTTCATGTCGCACCGAATGTTCAAGTCATTAAATGTGGATGTTTAATTCCTTTTTCATCCGAGAGATGGCATCACGCGTCCACAAATTACGAAATCCATAATGTGCATATGTTACGTTTGGCATAGTGGGCTGGTTGCTCAAACAAACGCCGGACAATGGGTGAAACAAGACCGGTGTGGTTGGCACGGACTCGACACCTTGCAGCCTTTCACTGTCAACACACACTAACACTGCTGAGGCACGTAGACATGATTCCCGTGGCGTTGTGCTTCATACGACACTTGGGATATTACATCTTTGTATTAACACACGCTTTTTGTGTGAATTTGTACCCGGACTTACCATGGTGGCCTTCCGATGAACAAATATTGACAGTGTTATACGAGTTTTTCTACCTTTCAAAGTGGATGAGTGTGGTTTTACGCCGCTTTTAGAAATATTCCAGCAATATCACGGCGGGGGATCATCATGCAGAAATGGGCTTCATATATATTATACCCATATGCAGAATCGAACCCGAGTCTTCTCGTGACGGGAGAATACTTGAACACCTGAGTGGTTGAGTGACGTATGGGGCTTGAGGGCGGTGGGGTAGCCTAGTCATACTCACTCACTCACTATTGGGCTTGAACGTATTTCAATAATGACATCTTATGTACACGTTTTATCTATTTTAGATTTAACGCAAAATATATCCGTTCCAGTATACACTGCTGTCTCGATTAAAAAGCCAACAATTCATATTGGTAATGATCCCACAATGACAACAATCAGCTCTGCCTCACGGGCCCTGAACCACATTATTTCCTCATCAGCCCAGCCCTTTCTGCAATGCTAATGTCCAAAATGAAGCAAGTCTAGATTTCCTCAGGTTCAGAATCTCCCATCTCACTGGGTCTCCTTCTCAATTTAAATGGGATTATTTGTTACTATGAAAATAATATATTCAGAGACGAAGTGATAGTCTATTACGATCAACTAGCAAAACACCAAAGGGGGTAACCGTTGTTGGGCAAACCAGCCTTGTACTCCCCTTTGACAGGTAATGTCTGCCAATCTGTTTGTGGGAATAATATTATATCAGCTTGTTCGCTGATAAAACACATTATATCAGCAGACGAGTGTGACGACGAACCGGATTTATTATGTCCATGAAGTGGTAACAAGACGTTGTTGAGTGAACGTGGCCGACGACCCCTTCTCATTGTGGAGACTCTGTATTGAAACATACTGCCTTCGACCTGTTTGAGTTGTGGAGAGATTCTATCTGTGAGTTGTATTCACTGGATACTGCTACAGCTACGACATAAAGCTGGCGTATTCGTAAAGAAAAACTTGTTTTTCATAACGATCAGTGGAGTCTGACCTCTGTGGATTCTCCCCCATTATTTACTACTCACAGGTGAGTCGTTGTCGTCGTCGTCGGCGTCTTTGTTTGTTTGTTGTTTAACGCCGCTTAAATTACATTTGTGACGTCATTCCATTGTCTGTTCGCTCCATTACTTTTCAGGAATGGAGCGATGTGTACCAGTTTCAAAATAAAACCTTCATTTTGTCATTTAATTTTGATAACAGAAATATTCCCAATACTTCGAATGTAATTTAAGTAGGGTAATATCCTCGTAACTCTCCATTCCTTAAAAATAATGTGCCTCGGCCCCTCCGGGGCCTCGGCTCCATTATTTTTAGGGAAAGGAGAGTTACTCGGACATTACCCTCTACATAATTTCCAGGATTGTCCACTGAGTATTATGAAATCGTGAGCATCGACAACGTGCATTAACTGAGATAACCAGCAGAATATGCCAATTCTAAGCCGGATATTTAAATAATGATGATAATAATACATTGTACATTTGAAGCACCATTCTCTACAAAGCCTCACATCCATTTGATCGGAGTGTTCTCGACCCCTGAAGGTCCGGGTTAGAATATTGATCTTCAGTAACCCATGCTTGTCGTAAGAGGTGACTAACGGATCGGGGGGTCAGGCTCGCTGACTTGGTTGACACATGTCATCGGTTCCCAATTGCGTAGATCGGTGCTCATGGTGTCGATCACTGGATTGTGTTGTCCAGACTTGGTTATTTACAGACCGCCACCATGTAGCTGGAATATTGCCGAGTGCGGCGTAAAACTAAACTCACTCACTCACTCGGAGTGTTCTCAACTCGCCGGGATGTATACATCCCGAACTACCACCACACTGTAACTGTCGTGGGTGTCCTGACTATTACCTGTGTCGAGATCGCTTCGGGTTTAAATCCTGACATGACGCGATGGAATTGGTAAAAGAGTGAGTGAGTGAGTGAGTGAGTTTAGTTCGCACTCAGCAATATTCCAGCTATATGGCGGCGGTCTGTAAATAATCGAGTCTGGACCAAACATTCCAGTGATCAACAGCATGAGCATCGATCTGCGCAATTGGGAACCGATGACATGTGTCAACCAAGTCAGCGAGCCTTACCACCCGATCCCGTTAGTCGCCTCTTACGACAAGCATAGTCGCCTTTTGTGGCAAGCATGGGTATTCTATCCCGGATCTTCACGGGACCCTTGGTTAAAAGAACCCGTCAAGAGTCATACAATGTACTATGAACCTATTGAAAGCAATGGAAATGAATTCTATACGGGGCGTACCTCGTTTAAAGCAAGATATTTGAAATCACCCCATATATTTCACTCGATAGCATTCACTCGATAACCAAATATTTCGATGTCACGAACTGAAAATGAATGCGACACAGAATTCAAACTTCACGACCTTGATGCTTTGACTGTACGAGCCTCGGTAATATTGTTAGTCTTTTCACGCGCATACTAAGGGCCGGAGGTTTTATGAATATTATTGTCAAAGGGAGGTTACTGTGACGGAGAAAGAGACGGAGTGATTGTATAGTTGATTGTATGGGGCTCGAGTATTCATATGCATCAAACCGCTTTTGACAAGTTATACCGTCAAGCCTCAGATTAACCGGTCTCCATAATAATGATAATAGTAATAGTGAGTGAGTGAGTATGGTTTTATGCCGCTTTTAGCAATATCCCAGCAATGTCACGGCGGGGAACACCAGAAATGGGTTAAATAATAATAATAGTAATAGTGAGTGAGTAAGTGAGCATGATTTTATGCCGCTTTTAGCAATATTCCAGCAATGTCACGGCGGGGGACACCAGAAATGGGCTTCACACATTGTACCCATGTAGAAAATCGAACCCGGGTCTTCGGCGTGACGAGCGAACGCTTTAACCACTGGGCTACCCCACCGCCCCAATAACAGTAATAACAATAATTGTGCAGCGATAGACGATGATGATGATACAAATGTAACAAAGAAACAGAGTAACAAAATAAAACTGGTTTATTTCCTGGGGGGAGGGGAAGGGGTTTGCACAAAGAATGTTTAATCAAAGTCTATTAGTGTTCACGTAATTATTGACTTCTCTGCTGTTGAGCTTAGTGTAACTGAAGTATCAAATAGCGTCATTGTGAAGGAACAAGAATAAGCAGATGTTAAAAAGAAATATTGTATTGCCTAATTTTACCATTAAACTTTTGAAGATTATTATCTTATCTGCCGTCGTTATTGTTAGTATTTTCGTAACATTTATTCTGGAAAAAACCCCACTTCTGACGTAGCGGGTGAATGAAAGCACGACAGTTGTCCATATGGAAGACATATGATTCAACAAGTCTATTTAATGTTAACTACCCTGTTCCTTCACCTCATTGAACCGGAAGCTGGCAGGGGTAATGGAGGCGAAAAACGATTTGTTATGCCACGAGTGGCGCTTCAAATGTTCCATAAAATATATTTTACGTGAGTAATTATTATATATGAGGTTGGAAATCTGAGAGTACAGCCCTGTGATGAAATTGGTGTCTACTTTTAATATATTATGCAACATTTTGTTTTGACATTTAAAGTATTTTTCGAACCGAAGCGAGGGAAGTACGCTGCCAATCTTTGCTCGCGTCGCTCACATATAGGAAGACTGGTAATGTTTCTCCCTGTTGCACAACCCTATGTGCGCTACGGTTTGCCCTTTTGGGGGCTACCGTACAGCCCTACTGTTCATTATATCTCAAGCTCCACTACGTTACCTCAGATCCGTTTCAAAACGTCATCAAGTCGGGGGCATATATATTTCAATAAATACCGACTGCAAGGCACGTGGTTTGTGTCCAACAAGATAAGTGACCCTGCTGACCATGTACATCTATTGTTTATTTCAGGTGACCGAAACCATGCCGTCACCAGTGGCCAGGTTGTTCTTTGTAAGCTTGTTTGTGTCGTCCCTCTGTCTAGACGATACAACGCCTTCTTCACAAACACAGCTCGTCCCAACCCAGTTTGATGAAATATGTACACCAGCGACCCCTTCCGAGGACATCACACCAATCAAAATTAAGTGTAACCTGTCCGGAAATAACCAACAAACCTGGAAGTTGGCTACTCTCAGAGACTGGATCATGGAACCAAAAAACAACCAGTCTGGTAAGCAATATTCATATGAGATACAGTGCAGTTGGTCAAATTCTAGCCTATCTCTACCATGGCCAATGAAGTCACCCGGTCTGGTGGAGCTGGTTGTGAGGAACTGCAACATAACAGATGTGTATTCTGAATACGACCGACCAGATATCTACACAATGGCTTCCGAGCTGGTCAGGATCGAAATAACAGATTCAGCCTTGTCTATTAAGCACTCACGTCTTCAGGAACTCTTGCAGGGAATTGCAAACGTTTCGTCCGATTTTGACTGTCTTCAGCAAGAAACCGTAGAAGTTATCGTCTTCAGAAACATTTCCTATGTCTTAGATGATGATTTGGAACACTGCTTGAAGCTTTTTCTCCCCCCAAAGGATAACGGAAGTGTCATCCCCCCGGATCCATCTTGCAATATCTTGTTTCTACCAACTGAGCTGCGCAACCTTGAAGTGGAATGCAATTTCAAGAAACTCCGTGTCATTGATGAAAGCATCAGCAACACCTTGTCAGTCTACTACCACAGATTCCTGACAAAGTACAAGAAGTTTCCTGTTCTTGAATTCCTTAACTATTCTTCCAACTATATTCGTGATGTTCCAGATGAACTGAGAGATTGGAGCTTTTTACTTCTTGTCATTGAAACACATGGATCTTTCTCACAACCAAATTGAAAAGATTACCTTTGAATCGGTATTCAATTTAAACCATGAAAACGACACGTACATAAATGTACAGTTCAACAACATAACGACTCTCTCCAAACAGGACCTCGACCATCTTCGGAAACAACCGAAAACATTCATCGACATTAGAAACAACCCCATAGACTGTGGTTGTAACCTCAGAGAGTTTATTGAGGCATTATCGAACAAATCACTCTTTACGGGAGAAATGCAAAAGTATGAATACATCCGAGATATGAAATGTGTTCAACCGAAACGTTTGGCTGGGAGGCCCCCTGGGAAGCTTGACAGCTGAAATTTTAAAGTGTTCACCTGCCCATGATTCTCCCGGGACGGCATTTGTAGTTCTCACGGTAGTGGTTGTCATTGTTTTTGGGATTGTTCTCATAGCGTTCATCTATCGTAAGGAAATCCGGATTCTGTTCTACACGCGTCTTAATATTCGACTGTGTGGTGGCGTGTATCACGGTCTTGGGTCCAAGCAATTCCATGCGTTTGTCTCCTACAGCAAGGAGGATGAAGACTGGGTTATTGATGTCCTGGCAAACCGACTAGAGGTTACCGAAAACACACGTGAGGAATCATCCAGCTCGGAGCCTGGTACTAGAACGAGACCATCAAGACTTAACCTGTGCATTCATGGGAGAGATTTTATTCCAGGGATACCGATCATTGAAAATATTATCAACAGTGTCCAGAATAGTAAACACACAATCATTGTTTTATCACCGAATTTTGTAAAGAGCCGCTGGGCCATGGAGGAATTCTTACAAGCATACAACCAGAGCATCAACGAAAGAAGACGACATCTTATAATAGTCATTTTAGAAGAGGTGCCGGAAGACCAACTGGATCCTCTTTTGAGGAGATGCCTGAAGATTTTCACATACATTAAAGTCTCAGATAAACTGTTCTATGACCGTCTTACGTATTCGTTATCCGCTGATACGAAGATAAGTAAAAGTGAATTATCAAACGAGAACAGTGTGAGAGGTGCAAGTGACTCTGTGACTTTAGACATGCCGAACTGTTATGATAGTGGTGTGTTTCTGGAGGATGAGTCTGTGGAGACCCCCTCCGTGTCTGTGCAGAGCCATAGGGACATTTCAGGCATTGGCATCCGTTTGTGAGTGAGTGAGTGAGTAATTTCCATGTGGATATGTCCTTGTCTTATATCCCCTGTGATGAAGATGCAGGCTGCCATATCGGGATGCATATGGGCGTGGTTATCAAGATCAACACACTATAGTGGAGTCTTTTCTTTCTGGACACATGTCATCGTATCCCAATTGTGTAGATCGATGCTCATGATGCCGATCACTGGATTGTCTGGTCCAGACTCGATTATTTTACAGAAATTGCAGAGTGCAGACTGTTTGTTTCTGTTACATGTTTCTTTCAACAACTTATTTTGAATTTACTGAGATCTTCTTGAGTGAAACATAGATCTACGAAATGCCCAAAGGAGGTTTATTTAAACTGACCATGTCCCATACCAGAAGCGAGTTGGTTGAACCCCAAAATGATTCACCCCAGATTTTCTTTTGTTGCTTTTGGGTATTCCAAAAATCCAAAAAAAAAAAAGGCTAGAGTAAAATCGTATCATCCAGTTTAGATTGAAAATCTGAAACCAGCTGAAAACATCAGATAACATCACACAACTTGCGATTACTTCCGTGAAACTTCGGAACATCACCATTCGCAAAGCGACTCCGTCGTTGTTCAGGATGTGAACCATGGAAAGTATATGATAAGGATAGGAGTGAATCAGTGACGTTTTACGCCGCTTTTAGCAATATTCCAGCAATACCTCGTGGAGGGAACATCAGAAATGGGCTTCACACATTGTACTCATGTGGAGAATTGACTTCGGGTCTTCGGCGTGACTAGCGAACGCTTTACCCACTATAGCCTGTTTGGAACAAAATGATTCCAATGAATCACACTCTAACTCCAAATCGGAAACATCAGACCAACTCTGGAAAAAAGTTTCATAATGTTTGTCTCCAAAATCATAAAGTTACTTAACAAACTATCATCATTTTGTTTTGATTTTCTGTGTGACTTTTTACTAGGGTAAAGAAACAGTAAACTGTAAAGTATCAGGAACAGTCTCACTGACAGATAGGATAAGATCAGGATGAGGGCAGGCAACAAGTTCTGGACATTATCAGATGCTGTTAATCCCCGACCATCATGCTAAACCTGTCAGTGCTTAAGTCATCGACCGATCAAATCCCAAGAGATCGATGTGTTCAAATATCTTGAAATAGTTGTACCAGTGAAACGCGTTTGCAGAGAGGTTGAAGATCCGTTCTCACTAAGATGATCTGGGTGTGACACTGATGGTGTTTTCTCTACAGTGGAAATGTTTATAATGCCAATCACTGGATTGTCTGGTGCAGATAGACTTGATTATTCAGTGACCGCCGTCAAATAGGTCGAATAATCTTCAATGCAGGGTTACACAGCAAAAGAATTTAAAAAATACTAATGGATCGTGTCAATTATTTGACAACATAAATTATTTGACAATATAAATTATTTGACAACATAAATTGTTTGACAATCTGTGAAACATGATGCAACACTGACAGCGTCTCACGGTGCAATGGTTTTTAGAAAGGATGGACGTGAATATATATGTCTTCTTGATCACACATCCTTTCTACACGAGCCTTCTTTAACTCAACATCAGATGCACGTGTGTTTCCCGTCAAAGGCGTGCATCACTCGATCACACTGACGCCCGTCAACGGTTATAACGAAGCCAAAGGGCATACTATTATGCCGTATTCGTTATAACCGTACTTCGTTAGCACATTTCGACTACAGCATACACCAAGAAGCCCCCCCACACACACACACACACACATCCCTCCCCATTCTCTTTTCCCCCTTGCTCTCTCACCACACTCCCGCCGTGATGTTGCTGGAATATTGCTAAAAGCGGCGTAAAACCAAACTCAGTCAGTCAGTCTCACCACACTCAACGCTTAAGTGCGACCATTGTGGAGTTGAATATAATATTTTACGTGTGCTTCACAAAGCCGCTTGTCCGTTGATTTTGTTGTTTGTTTGTTGTTTAACGCCACACTCATCAATATTCCAGTATTCTCAGCTATATGTCGTCGGTTTGTAATTAATCGAGTCTGGACCAGACAGTCGAGTGATCAACATTATGAGCATCTATCTACGCAGTTGGGATACGATGAAAAGTCAGCAAGCCTGACCACCCGATCCCGTTAGTCACCTCTTACGACAAGCATCGGTTGCTGAAGATCAATTCTAACCCGGATCTTCACGGATGCTTGTTCGTTGACGATTAGATGCTCCTTCAGTAGCGTGTATGCCATTCAGTTATTAAAACAAAATTCAGTTCTTCGTTTTAACGCAAGTCGGTCCTCGGTTACCAGCTATCTATTTGCTGGGCATGTGCATTTTTGCTTTGAGTGACATAGCCACCAACAGATCTAGTTCCCGTTGCTTTTCTACCACGGCTTTGTATGAAGACAGCAAATAATTTAATTAATATTAAATAATGCGGCATATGCAAATAATCAGTCATAATGTCACAACTTTTTTCTTCTGTAGGTCAATATGACTGTAGTGGACATATGACTGTAGTCAGAATATCTGTTTGTTAGTCACCGCATATTGCTAAAGGAGTTATCTCCCTTGCATCGCTTTGCAAGATGGTGGCCGGTTGGTATTGCGCTACACAACTGATGATTTAAAACCATGGATAACTTGTGGGAGCAGCATCCAGGAAACGACGTTCACAATAGCTACAATTGCAGGTCACTGACAAAAACGTACCACATTTTCGGACGTTTTGTCTCAAGGGTGAATTAGCCAATTTGGATCGGATTCGTTGGGCGGAGAAAAATTCTTTTCGGCCCGTGCAGAAACATTGTTCCGTTAGCACGGTGACGCGACTCGTGGGATTACCAAAGATGTCTACCTGTATATTGAAAACTACAACATGGGAGTGGAGATGACAAACCAACAAATGGGATTTGAACTCGCGATCCGATGATTCTCACAAACCTTAGGGACGCAACACGGTGTAAGGTTTGCCGCACATAGAACCGTTTGTAAAATTCACAGTTGTGTCAATATTTAACCACACGAAAAAATGAAACGTCATACGAAACGAATAAGCATTTTATTTCGACAGCCTTGACAAGATAAATTCTTTATCACATACTATCATTTTTAATCATGTTGGTTACAGCAGAGTGATTGGTAAGTCAAACGAGCATAATTCTAACTGAAACTTGATTTAAGTCCAGTTGCTTGATCAGCATATGGGTAAACTATATCATTTCAAAGGTCATTTTTAAAACACGGAAAACATTGTCTTGGTCCTCGTTCATGGCCATCCATAGCTCCGCCCCTTTGTGTGGTTGCCCTTTTATCAAAGGGAGGCTACTCCAGCCATCCTCACAATTTTATGAGTCTTCAAGGTCATTACAATGGCATGACGTTATAAAATATCCTACAGCGATAAAATGAAAAGTATTACTTATTTCAGCAACTATTTTTAATTTGGTAAACATCACAAGACGCCGAGATCGACATGCCCAGGAAAGGAGATTGATATGCTTATTAAACTGCTTCGTTTATGTCTCCAATGTTGCTATGGCTTGTAAAAGACCTTAGCTACGCCGTAGAATTTCGGTATCTTTCATTAAGATAACAGTAACGATAACAGCCATCACTGTAATTTGTCGAGATTCCCCATCATTAATTCTGACTTGCTTGCCGACAGACAAGGGCGATGCAGGGCGGTGGGCTAGCCTAGTGCTTAAAGCGTTCCCACGTCACGCGGTGGCCAGGGTTCGATTCTCCATGTTCTCACTTTGTCGACGCAACGTTTGTAAACACTAAAAGCAAAATCTACACCGATTTTCTTTCATTCTTGGACGGTGGTGTAGTCTAGTGGTTAAAGCGTTCGCCCGTCACGCCGAAGACCAAGGTTCGATTCCCCACATGTATACAATGTGTGAAGCCCATTTCTGGTGTTCCACGCCGTGCTATTGCTGGTATATTGCCAAAAGCGGTGTAAAACCAAACTCACTCGCTCA